GCTGGATTATGGAGAAAGCCAGAGAGTTCCAGAAAAACATCTGCTTCATTGACTACGCAAAAGCCTTTGACTGTGTGGACCACAACAAACTATGGCAAGTTCTTAAACAAATGGGAGTGCCTGACCACCTTTTCTATCTCCTGAGAGTTCCATATGTGGGACACGAAGCAACAGTTAGAATTAGATATGGAACAACTAATTGGTTCAAAATTGGGAAAAGAGTACAACAAGGCTGTATGCTGTCCCCCGGCTTATTTAACTTATATGCAGAATACATCATGTGAAAGGCTGGACTGGATGAATCCCAAGCCGGAATTAATATTGCCGGAAGAAACATCAACAACCCTGGACTGCAAAGAGAACAAGCCTATCCATTTTGAAAGAAATCAACCCTGAGTGCTCACTGGAAGGACAGATCCTGAAGCTGAGGTGCCAATACTTTGGCCATCTCATGAGAAGAGAAGACTCCCTGGAAGACCCTGATGTTGGGAAAGTTTAAAGGAAAGAGGAGAAGGGGACAGCAGAGGATGAGATGGTTGGACAGTGTCATCGAAGTGACCAACATGAATTTGACCCAACTCTGGGAGGCACTGGAAGACAGGAGGATCTGGGATGCTCTGGTCCATGAAGTCATGAAGAGTTGAACATGACTTAATGACTAAACAACAAGATACATTTAATTTCTAAATGGCAGCACCTACTTTAATGCTACCCTAAAGCAAAGATGGCAGTGGCTCTTACTCTCATTGTGGAATGCTTTTGTTAATTTACGAAAGAAAGCTTCTGAAAACTAAATGCTTAATTTAATGAAAAAGAGGCTCACAAAAAACTTTGGATTCTTTCATTTCCTCCTTCTTTTGCCTTGCTTTTACATTATCTGTCAAACTGCCCAAGAAAGGTTTAATTAAACAGTGTGGCAAGATTGACTGGAACCCAGTAACGAATGTTCTGTGATTTAGTCATTTCTTGGGGGTGGAATCTGTGTACTGCTGAGCTCCACCGTGCTCTCCATCTTGACTGTGATGCTTTTTTCCCCCCTCCCCCCCTGCATTTTTTGGAGAGAATTCTCTCCCCTGACCCATTTCTTTGGGTTGTTTGCTGCTGTCACTAGGCAGTTTGCCTGTGGTTTCAGCATGCCTCATTAGGATTATTTTTTCAAATCAGCCCTCTCCAATTTCTTTGGGATTTCCCCCTTTCCCTTTCCCTGATTATTTTTGCATGTTAATGGTGGACTCCAGCAAGAGAAGAGAATATATCAATGATAATGGGAAGAGAAATCTTCCCATATTCAAGTCATTTTAGTTTGGGGTCATGGTGCTTTGACTACATTAATGCCTTAATTTGCTTTCTTGTTTTTCTATTTTGGTGGGGAGAGGGGGCAGTATGTTTTTTCTTTTACCTTTTATTCCCCTGCATCTTTGTGTGTTTCTGTGTTACATTGATTTTTCTGTGCTTGCCTTGCCTCTTTTTTGTAATATTTTAAGGGTTCCTTTAGGGGTTTTTGTTTCAGTGTCAGACAAAACAGGAGGGGAGATTTTAAAAACCCAAAGAACTGGTCCTTTTTTAGTTCAGTGAAAGGACTGGTAATCAAAGGACCAGAAAATTAATGAGGCACTTGCTGAAAGAACACAAAGTGAATAAAACCGGACATTTTCTGTGTGCCCATCCCAAATGGCAGCATGTGGTCCATGGGTTGCATATCACCTGCAGAAACATTTTTGCCAATTGCAAGGCCACCTCAGACTGTAAAAAGATATGAATCACCATAAAAAAAACTCTCCCCACTCCTTCTTTCTTTAGTGAAGTAAGTGTTCTGGAAAGGCAATTTTGGCATTAGGAGCTCTCCAACTCCTCCCCTCAAAACCGCCTGGTTGCCACAGCTAATGTCACGCTGGCTGGTATCACCAGAACTATCTACCAATGCATATGGAGAGGCAAGATTAGGAAAGACTGGTCCTAAAGCAGCAGTGGAAAACTGTGGCCCTCTAGATGTTTTTTTTTAAATCAAGAAATCCATAGTGAAGATTTTAAAAAAATCTGTTTTTCAGAAATGAAGCAGCAAAATCCTCTGTCAGAGACTTCTTGGGACATTAACCCACACCATGAGCCTAATGTACAGAAAACTATAATTACAATGGCAATACTATTGTTAAGTAAGCAAAATGCTACAAGTAAAGGAAGTTTACCATTTCCAATAGAGTTGGACGGCGTCGGCGGTTTGGTACTACAGAAAGAGCTTTTCTCTGCCGGTTTGGACCACTGGCGTGGACTCTGTTTGGATCTGGCCTCCACAGTAGTGCATCTGTAGAATTAGCAGCTGTTTTCTTGCCTGTGTCTTTAAAGCTTTGAGGGACATTTGAAGACTGAGAGATACTTCTGCGAATCACTTGGTTTTCTTTAAGTGTTTTTGTTGCACTCTTGCTTGGCTCTGTATTTTTTGAAAAAAGGAAGTGGTAAAATAATGAGGCACTGATCAGATTAGGCAAGATTAATGTGCAATAGAGAATCAAAGTGAAATCTTCACAGCTATGAAAGAATATTCTGTATTAAGAGCATTACTGCAAATAATGTATTTGCGTTGCTTGTACCAAGATATAATTACGATTTTGTGCAGTAATAATGCAAGAGCTTAAAAGTTAATTTTTATTAGTTATTCAACTGTTTGATAAAGAGAAGCCAGGAACTTCATCCATGCATCCTCTTACCCCTGCTTTATCAATTTTAGTCTTAACCAATTCTCTGCAGTTCGGTTCAAATCACATAAACGTTTATAAGAATATGTATTTCGTACTCTGTTGTGCAGCAGTTCAGATACATTATAAATGAATAACCCTTCATTTTATATGGAATCAAACCCAAATTTCTGACTTCTGTTTCATTAAAAAAAATGAGTGTTTAGTTTTTTTAAAAAGCTGCGTATTTCACACACATATTCCCAGACTTGCAAGGCATTCAGACAATTTTCCTTTAGATTGCTGAACAAGTAAAAAATGAGGTTTTACCATCTAAAATGAATTAGTCCCAATTTAAGGCATTAAGCATGTTTACACAAAATCCAAATTCTTTAGACCAGAATTTAGTATGTATTAATCACACTGGTTCAGTCTACCAACAATGTCAACTTGGAATTAAGGAATCTTAATTATACTTTGACATGGCATCCAAACTAAGGCAATGCAAAACCTACACATGACTTTTGCATTTATTGAGACACAAGAACACCACTCGTGAAGCAGATTCTATCACCTAAAACAGGTGTGTGAAACCATAACTGGCATGTGGTGATTCTCCCCCATGCCCACCCCAAACAGTCTTACTGGCCCATTTATCTGGGGCCAATGATATCCACTATGTCATGTCCTCAAAGTCTCCTCACCATCCAGAGAAGAGGAAGAAAGAAAACGTTAGGAATCCAATTTACCTTCTTGTTCGCTTTCACTCTCTGACATGCTTCCATAGCTGGACACCAGCGAGCTCAGAGCTGAAGTCACTTGCTTTGGAACTACACTAATTCCCAGAGATTTATCATTTGCAGATCCTACTTCTTTGTCTGAATCTGGGGAGATAAAAGAATCACAATTTCTCTGCAAACGGTTTTACCTTTCACGAGCAGAACCTCTGTGCCCTAAGTAGCTACCAGCCTCATTCAGGAACTTGAAGCCACAGTCAACAGTCAAAAATAGAAGGTTCTAAAAGACTTATCTGCCTAGCTTTGAGGACAAAGGTTGCATTTGCTGCAGACAAGCATGCCGGCCCATTTATTTTTTTACTATAAAACTTCAGACTGATGGAATGACAAAGAAAATTCCCTTTTCTACAGAGTAGTTCCCTATTTGAACTACTCTGTAGGAGAAAAATTCCTTCTTTGCCCACAGGTGATACTTATGCCGCAGAAAAAGTGCCCCCTCAGGATCTCTCTCCAGGCAACATCCCCCAGAGAACTGTTAAGTGAAGTCACGCACTGCAGGAGAACTGTGGAAGAGTAGCAACAGATGTTATTTCATAACAATATATGTATATATATATGTCTGTAATAGCCAGTGTGGTATAGTACAAAAATGAGGAACTAGGATTCATTCAGGAGACCTTGGTTCAAATTCCTGTTCAGCCATGGAAACACCCATGTCCATGTGCGTGTACAGCTTTAAAAGGGTAAACCACTACTTGAACATTTCACGTATCTCAAAAACCCTATCAGGTTTTGATGGCAGATAACAACAAACCTAAGTTCATAAAAAGGGCACAGTAACCTGCAGTATCATACAATATGAATCCAACCGTGCTGTTTACATAAAATGTTTAACCAACTGCGAAGTCTACTATAGGGACTATAGGATGCATGTAATGCTCCAAAATATGCACCCGATACAGGCACATGCTATAGGGAACTCTCACTTAGCTTTAGCCAGTGTCATCTTGCACTGGAAGAATTGGTTTCCATGTACCTCACCTGCAGGTCAGATCATTCTCTCTCACAAGAGACTAACAGCCCCCGAGACAAAAGAATTCCTTCCTACGGCAGGGCAAGGGGATCACTTCTGCCAGCACAGCCCCTCCTCCAATTTTTGTCTACAGCCCATTTGCCTTACCAGGATCATTCATGGCCAGAATGCTAAGGGGATCTACATCTCTCACAGAAATGTGTGCTTCTCCAGAATGCTCTTTTCGAACCTCCTCCTCAGTTGTGTCTGGATCAGTTGTTGATGAAGTTGGAGCATTTGGTGTGAGAACTTTATCTTTAGGCACATTCCTAGATTTTTTCCAGAAGCGATTTCTGTGCTTTCTTCCTCTGCTTTGTTGCTTAGAATGCTCAGATTGAGGTGGCTTCCACATTCCCTTCATTTTTCTGAAAGAGAAAAAAAACTAAGCATTTTTTCTGGGCAATTTCCTATCATAACTATTATTACACTGATTTATAACTTCTTACTCCCCCTGCATCTGCCCACTCCCACATTACCTAGCCTTCTTGTAGAGGCTGTTTATAAACCATCCATGATCTTATATACTTTGATGCCCTAAATACTCAGGTAACAAGAGCCAGAGTAACACTGCTATTGAGCATCAAGAAGACGATGAATTTTTCTGAGGATGAGATACAAGCTACCCTAAGCCATTTGCTGTACTTTTCAGCAGAAAAACTGAAGAACGTGACAGACTGAAATTAAGCAGTTTAAGACATCAACCGTGTTTTGGTATAGTTAGATAAAATTCTATGCACACGTACTTGCACACATTCCACTGAATGTCTCAAAAACTTAATATTTAATATTCTATGCTTTTAACTGTAATTTATTGCATTGTACTTGTTTTACTGCATTTTATGATATTTGATTTATGCCCAATTGTACTGTACTATTATTATTTTGTATATGTATTACTTTGTTACACTGTTGTTTTATTTGCTGTAAACCGCCCAGAGTGGCCCTGGCTGCCGGATGGGCAGTATCTAAATCAAATAAAAATAAATAAATAAATAAATAAATAAATGACTACATCTACTTGTTCTATAGTATTACGAAGCCAGAAATCTGCACTAATGCCGATGGCAAAGGCTAACCTCTTCTGCACAAACAGACCAGTTTGCATCAGTTCAGCCACTGTCAACATTTCTTTAGATTAGGCATCCTTCAGTCTCGAGAGACTATGGTAACGTGTTCTGAATAGAGGACTTGGAACAGCGTCTGGTGTCAAGAAGGCCAATTTGAGAGTGACAATTCCAAATTGTCAACATTATCACAGAGAAAATAGATGGAAGGTGCTCATAATAATTAGTTATTGAACAGGCTGAGGGAAACCACAAGGATCAAGCGGAAACCATTTCAAAATTGCCCTGAACAACTTGGAGGAAGAATGGGAGTTAAGTGCAACATACTCAGGGTTTTCTATGGGATAAAAGACACACAGTCAGTACTTTAAGAACAGAATAATAATACTCTAAAATGAACAGGTAAATTTACATTAATACTTACCCAAACTGCTGTGTTTTAAGTACCTCTCCCCGCTGTTCCTTTTCCATCTCTTGTAGTTTCTTCTTTTCAATATTTGCCAAAGTAGGATAATTTCTAGTGCAACAAACATATGAAACCTTATTAACAATGTGTCTGTAGCACTGTTCTGCCCTTTACTCTGTCCCTTATTTTCCCTCATAATTGATCACATTACTATGAAGCAGATCAGGTGATAAATTGAAGCGTGACATGGATGGTCAGGGGGCTGGAAACCAAGCCTTATGAGGAAAAGCTGAAAGAATTGGGCACGTTTAGCCTTGAGAAAAGAAGACCAAGGGGGTCATATGATAGCACTTTTCAAATATTTGAAAGGCTGTCATACAAAGGAGGGGCAGGATCTGTTCTTGATCATCCCAGAGTGCAGGACACGCAACAATGGGCTCAAGTTAAAGGAAGTCAGATTTCGGTTGACTATCAGAAAAAATTTCCTATTAGAGCAGTACAACAGGCATTCAAGCAAAACTTGGATAATCACCTGGCAGATATGCTTTGACTGAATTCCTGCACCGAGCCCCTGCTTGGACTTTATGGGCTTGTAGGCCCCTTCCATTTCTATGATTCTATGAAGGGGCCTTTGGTACTGGGGGCTGCTGAAATTCCTGCCCCAGTCACTAGCCTGTCTCTACTGAGAACTGGGACATGTTAACTCATATTATAGTTAAAAGTCTGGGAGTAAACTACAGGATCATATGGTCCTTCTCTGCAACCACTCCAGATATAAGCTTTATTATTGAACTTTTAATTGTGAGACTAACACAACAAGGACAGGGAAGGTCTGCGGATATAGGATTTGATTATATGGTGGTGCATTTCACTATGCTAGCCCCCCCCCCCACTACAGTGTGTGAAGTGCTAAAACCCTGCTGGTGGTTTACCATTTCGTGATCACTCAGTGGTTTAGGTATTTGGCTGTACAGCTAGAGGTTAAGGAATCTGATTCCCGACTGTGCCTCCTCAGTGAAGAGCCAGCTTGCACTCATGGGCAAGCTGCACAGTCTCAGGGCGCTCCCAGAAGAAGGGGATGGTAAACCACTTCTGAGTATTCTCTACCTGGAAAATCTTGAACAGGGTCATCATAAGTCAGAATTGACTTGACGCACATAACTTGTTTTCAAAACCAAATCAAATGTTATTTCCAAATGAAGATGCAGAATTCCAAACTGAACAAACACGAATGCCAACACACATTGTCCTGGTCCTGCAACAATGTCCACTGAAAGACTAGTCGACAATAAAGACTCATTTATTGCATGACTCTTGGAAAGAGAGAAAGCAACAAGAAATATGACATGCAAAATTTCAGCTCAAGTATAAATCTTTGAACTGTTTCTTCAAAATCTAAATAGGTGAAAAATATAGAGCTTGATCTAGTGCAGCAATAATCTCTGGAGGCATCTCATCTACCCGTCTATTGCCAGACATACATATGACAAGTACTTACAGCACAAACAGTAGGAAGGCCTGTTTGCAGCCCCTATATTCCCAATGATCCCTCCACTCAATCAAGCATGGCAGAGATAAGAGAAAGACACAGGAATAAGGGAGCATGGGTATCTTATTTTTCTAAAGGCTTACAAGCCTGCCATAGCCGCCAAGAGAAGTGGGGAAATTGGCTCCGTTAAGCCTTATGAAGATCCCACATGTGCCCTCAATTCAACTGAATGGAACCTATCAGGTATCCTGAAGTAAGATGGAAGCAAACAGCAGTGTTAAACATCAGAAAGCTTTGTGGGGTATGAAAATGTATTTTTTTATTTTAAAAAACCCTCCTCCCTCATGATCTTACAGCTGTATTTACTCACTTTCTTCTTTCTTCCCTCCATTTAGCAATTTCCTCGGGTGTGTCCAATTTTATTCTTTTGACACCAGGAGAATGCATCTGAGGAAGAAATAAAGCATCTCAAAACATTGTGACCTAGGTTTCATTAAAAAAGAAATAAAAAACACAGTGTGGTCCTTGTACACAGTCTGAAAACAAGGCAAGTTGTGCCTTTATTAGATCACTAAAAACTCTCACACAGAGATGATCCTTTGTGTACTAGAACATAAACAAGTTCAACTATCAGAATGTTATGGCGCAGTGACCTTGCTGGAGGGCTGGCTAATTGTTTTGCAATGACTAGAGTATTGTTCAAGCCTCAGTTTTAAAAGGACTTTCATTTCAGGGCTACTTCTTCCACACACCCATTAATTATTTCAACAGTTTATGCACAAAAAATGCACACACTGACAGACTAACTCACCAACTACTGTGAACTGCACTAGGAAAGCTTTACCTTGAAAACTAATGCAGATTTTTTTAAAGGGCCTAGTTCTTCACCACGAAAGACTAACTAATCAAGTAATTGCAAAACCTTCTGAAAAACCAGAAAAATCCCCCCCCACTTTACAGTTCAATATGTCACAACTAAAATATATAAAATGAGAAACTGAGCAAAGACAAACTACAAATCAGATCTGAAAGTGAACTGAGGAAAGCTTACATTTTTCCAGTGGATCTGAACCAATTTTTCATGTGCGCTGAAACTACAACCATCTTCTGTACACTGTAAGGGGGAAAAGGGCACAATTTTAAAAATTAGATTATGTTTATGTGACTGATTGGCTAAAGGTATGTTTGGAATACTTGGTGCAACTGCATTTGAAATTCCCACTTTGTGGTTCTTATATTTTACTTTTCCTTCTCTGTCTCTAGAATCTTTGCTTCTTTACCTTTTGATATAACTAGTCATTCAGCAACCTCCTTTGAATTCACAACTGGCATATGCTACCCTTTCAAAGGAGAAAGCTGCTTGGCTCAAGTCTCAGCTCTTCTGTGACATCCAAAAGAACTTTATTCTGAATCTACCAACTGACAAAGTATTACTTCACTGGGAGTTTTCAAATGCCAAGGTGCACATCAACTCTCACTGGCTGTTTCACAGAAAGAGGGAATGCTGGTGCTCATAAGAAATAACAGGAGTTCAGTATGACAAATTGCATGTTCTTCTATAATTAAGTATACTGCCTTTTTTCAGTCCATGAAATATGCACTTGAACACTCAATTGTATGCCAGCTTCATTATATGATGCTAAAAGTATTCTATGAAAGAGCAAAAAAACTTATTTGTCAAACCTATACATATGATCAACCAAGTATGAGAAGGATTTGATCATTTCAGGAAGACCTGAAAGTTTCTTTACCTTCAAAACCTTTTGGATCTGCATCAAAATCATAAACCACTTACTTAGAAGCATCCAGGTTACTGGCACAAAACAGAATGAAGGAAACTTTCATAATCATGAGAAAAATTAGGTAGGAAAGCTGAGCAAACACCTTCTCTGGAAATTTCTAAGATAATACTCAGTAAGAAAATATACTTTGGATGATTTGCAGCCAGAAAATTCTGCCACTGGATGTAAAAGGATAAGCTAGAGGCCCGCTCCATGTCTACATTCCAAGCACAACTAAAGGAGTGTCAGCATTATTATTATTGAGCTCAAAGGATTATGCAACAAATAGGTTGCTTCTGAGAGGGCAGCATTCATGGCCTTTTAATAACACACCTGCCGGTGCTGAGAGATATGTTCCTCATATTTCTCCTTGTTTTTAAAGCCACGATCGCATGTATCACAATAATGAGTAAAAACTGGTTCCTTTCTTTTCTTTTTCTGCAAACAGAGAAGGGAGACATTACCATCACAAACATTATTATAAATGTCAAGTGTTTTTTTAAAAAAATTCCAGTGCTCTGAAGTGTGACCTGATTCTACGAGCTTTATTAATCAACATTACTTCTACGTTCTATAAGCTCAAAAATACTTCAAAGTTGTTGTAAAAATACCAGAGTCTTACAGCTATGTAAAACTGTGGACACAAAATCTGATTTGGCATGTTTAACTTACATTTACCACACTAAGCTTTCAGAAGTTCCAAAATCACAAAATTTGAACAGTATTTAAACAGAAATACTTTATTAGGAAAATGATAACACACATTTGATGAAGTTTAAGTGTTATAGTCAAACAAATTCAAAGCTTTATGTGGCAACTGCACTAAACACAGCTACCGCAGCAGTGAAAGCCAAATGTTCCTCTCCAGCTAATCTGCAATGTCAAACAGAGCCAAGTATAATATTTTTCCATGCTACCCATATCTCCTAGTATTTTAACTATAAAAGTTGTAACCATTGGGGAAAGTAGTATACCCCCCAATTGTAAGCATAAATTGAGGGTGCCATGCATGACTAACAATTTACAATTCAGTACCTTCTGTTTGTAGTTCCTGCCTTGATAAGCTTGAGCTGGTGGCAATCCAGTGTGTTTCTTTGGCCATGCTTCACTGAAGTAGCAACTTCTGCCTTCAGTTAAAAATTAAGTACAATTACTGATATGAAAGCAATCAATGTTATTCCTAAGAAAAAGGGACCCCTAGAACAGCGGTCCCCAACCTTTTTGGGACCATGGATCGGCTGAGCCTCTGAGGAATGTGGGGCACCCCCCACGCTCTCTTGGGCACATGCGCAAAGCGGTGGGGGAGCGTATGCCCATCAGCCAGTGCGAGCACTCTCCCACCCCTTCGCACATGCGCAGGAGCGCCTGCGGGAAGGGGTGGGGGCTGCTCATGACAGTGCTGACACGCGTGCGCAAAGCAGCTGTGTGGAGGGGAGTGTGGGGTGGTGGTGTCTGTCTCCACAGCCCGGTGCAGTTCAGGCCACTGATTGGCACCAGACCTGGGATTGACGACCTCTGCCCTAGAATATAAATGTTGATGGTAAACATGGATTTTTCTTTTTGTTTTCCAAAGGAAAACATTTTAATTCACATTTCAAAATTGCTATAGCAAACTATAACAAACAAATGGGATGAGGTCAGTCTCCACTTTGTTTAAAATGCTTCTAGTCCATATGCCCATCATAACAATTCCAATTAAATTTTATGAAACTGGTGTCATTTCTTTTGTTTTAACCTTCTCTCCTCTATTGTTGTACCTTAGATTACAAATTTGTTTTTATAAATTGTCTTACCTCTATTAGCACTGAGAAACTACTAATTAAGAGAGAAAGCTTACATCTGCCTTGACAACCACAATCCCTTTACTAGTGAATATTGTCATAATATAACCATGCCATTTTGCATACGTTGCAAGATACAATAAAGACAGAGTAAGCAGCAGAAACTAACAATTCTGTAAAGAATAATGGCAAAAGTACAGAAATGTATTGCGCTTCAAAGTAACATAAGAGACACGTACTGATTTGTCCTCCCTTTTGAATGCACATCTTAATCAGTGAAGAGATTTGAGTGTCAGAGAAACAGAGCACTACTATCAGAAAACTAGAATGCTAAAAGTCTGGACTCCTAACAAGGTCACCCAAGGTGAAATGGTCAATGCTCAGACATCAGTCTAAAACGCATGTATCCTCTTCAGGATTAAGTTACATCAGCAGAAGAGAATGGATAGTTCCAATGGTGACAGAGGAGGGTGGTGGTGGTGATCAGAGGCCAGAGCTACTGGGCAGCTGCAGTAGTGGGAGGTTACATAGGTAGAGAATTTCACACACACAAAGCGATGAAGTGTAAGCTTACTTTTGTTAATACGGTTCAGAAAAAGGCAAAGATAAACCACTTCTTAATATTCTCTATGCCGAAAGCCCTGTGATCAGATAATCCGAAATTAAACTACAGAGAGCTGGAAGATGAGACTGCCGAGTCAGAAGGCAACCCAGTCAATACTGGGGAGGAAAAAAGGGAGAAGTATGACTAGTATTGCCACTAAAGAAGCAAACAGATTAAAGGTGAAATGATGTCTAATGGCTAACATACTTAAATATAAAAGAAAAGTCCAATGCTGCACAACAAATAACTAGAACATGGAAAGTAATAAGTATGAATCAAGGCAAACTCAAATCATAAAACTGAATAAATTTTGCAGCAGTTTTTGTGAGTAAACTAAAGTGGACAGGAATAGGATATTTTCAGTCAGATAATTACAAAGCATTTTACTCTGAGAATGACAACATTAGAATAAATGATGTGGCTCTTAAACAGAGGCTGGATGTAGTAAAAGTAATTAGGGGGTAGAACAGGAGATACAGAAGACACTTCCTTGAAGAATATAAGGAATATGAATGCACATTTGGGCATCCCCGGGGAAAAGACTGTACTTTATCAGCTGATTCTTCTACTGTACACCAAAAGCACCACTGGGTTGCTTCTGACATGAAGAAAGGAGGAGATATAATGCAAGATCTAACTGAATAATACCAAGCAACAAATACATTTTCATGCTCTATGCTCCACCTATTGATGCTGAAGAAGAAATCAAAAGATTTTATGTAGGTGTCCAGGGGGAAATTGATCATACACTGAAACAGAATACGTTGATAATCACATGACTGGAACACAAAAGTAGGACACAAACCAGAGCCAAATATTGTTGGAGAATTTGGCCAAAGAATCTGAAGTGAATGAAAATATTGACATATAAAATTACATGAAACCAACAACCTGTTTATTGCCTGTGACTATCCTCTGTTTAAGAGATGGGCCATAAATTCCTAATTGCTAGCTGAAGAAAAGCTTGAAATCAGCATGCCTGCTGCAGCTGTTACCATCTAAGAAGCTTGTCTGACCTCTACACCATCAGCCATGCGACTCTGGGATGTTAAAAACAGCATATAAGTTTGGAACTGCCCACAAGAACTTGATACACAGCCTTGAAGAAGATGATTTATCATCAAAAGCTTGCTATTTGTTTTTGTTTGTTTATTTTATATTCTTAATGGTTGATTAAAGGTATCATCTACTCCTGCATTTGTATTATTTATTGCACCAGCCTGCTTCAGGGCAATGCCTGAACAGATGGCTGGACACAGAGACCTCACCAGAAAGCCAATATAGAATTCAGCTATCCAATTGCTAGTAGTAGATGGAGAAACTGTATTCTCTCAGATAAAACAAGTCCAGAAGTAGACAGCGGCACTGACTGTGTTTTTTAAGAAGAAAAATCAGAATAAGCTGAACACCACAATAGGAATCTTAGTGCAAAATGACTTAGTAACATTTCTGATTGATTTTAAAAAGTTCCTCTAAAGGACATGTTTGCACTACTAAACTCAACTGATCATGAATCAGAAGAACTGTGGATTGAAAGCAGAAGTAATATTGACTAAGTATGCAAAAAGATAATTCCTTCAGTGAAAAGAAGAAAAAAAAGGAAAAGCCAAGCCTAGATGAAAAGTAAATGCTGACAAAAATAGTGTCAGTCCTAAAAGCAGCTTTAAAATGACTGCCAATCGAAAACTATTACAATAAACAGTGCAAAGACAGTTTGATGTCACTTCCTGAAAATGCTGTCAACTGCAGCTATCAACTGACTACTTTCTCCACCAACTCTTCCCCTGGTGAAGGGAAAATGACAGAGATGAGTATGAGATAATCAAGGTGCTTTCAAGCAGCAAAGCCCAACCAAGCCCTCTATTTACACTAGTCCTTCCTTCAGGAAAGGCTGTGATGGCGAACAGGGAGTTTGCCTGCATAGGAAGAGCTCTGGTGACCACAAAACGTGCTTGTTCAGTGAGGCCAGATAAAAGTTGTCAACCCCTAAATAGAAGTAATAAATTCTAACAGACAGTGTTTCCAAAGGGTGTAAACAGTATCTGCTATATCACAGAGGTTAAGACAACGATCTGGCTTCTATACCAGTATAAAAAGTTTACTTTTTCACTGTAGAATTTCTGAGACTATGCTTATAGCCTATAATTTATTTATTATTTATTTATTTATTGTATTTATACCCCGCCTATCTAGTCATTTCGACCACTCTAGGCGGCTTACATAACTACACTATGCTGAAAGTTATGGCTTTAAAAAAACAGTGAATGAGAATACCAAAGTTATTTGTTATTTCTCAAGTCAGATCGCAAGATGAGTCTTTATTCTTTTTACTTAATCCCAACCAAGTTGCCAGGTTGATCTGGAAATATGTCGCCTTATAGCAAACAGTATTATCTATGGTGATAACGAATAATTTCTCCTACTACCCTGTGGACGATGAAAGCTACAGGGAAATAAAGGAGCGAATGCTTAATATAGCTGCTTAGTGGACGAAAGTAATTATCTATCTGAACAGCAAGCTTAACGGCTAATCACAGGCAGAGGAAGCCTGACCCTGTGCAGGCTGACGCCCCGGTTAAAAGAAAAGCCTAGGAAGTTACACTAGCCGTGATAGGCAAACCCAGAACCTTCAGGTTAACTCTTACACCAACTCCCAGACCCAAGGATCCTTATCGGCGGGAGAGCCAGGCTGTCAGTGAAGCTAGCGAGAGAGGCAAAGTTTGGACAAAAGGAAGCGCCCGGTCCGTACCTGGTGGTGGCGGCGGCGGCGGCGTGCGGTGAGGCGAGTCACCTCCTGGGCCCCCAGTGCACCGAGGAGGACGGCCCCGCCAACACGGCCGCCGTCGCAGAGAGAGGAGGCGGAGGAGGCGGCGGCGGGTACCACATCGAGAGGTCCATGGCACCAAGCACGTGCATACAAGGAGAACTCCGGCTGAACTCTCGCCTCTGCCACGCCCCGGAAAGGGTAGTTCCCCCCACTCAATGATGCCATCAGCAAGGGCCGGAAGTAGCCGCCAGAGGGGAGGGGGCGGAAAAGAAGAGAGTCGCATAGAGAAGAAGCCCACAGTCCGGCGCAGGCGCAGCTTGTCTTTGGTATTGTTTTTTCCGCGCGCCATGGCGTCGCGAGAGATGATTGGGCCTGCCTTGCCTCCGCATTTCGTTTGCTCTGAGCTCGAGACGGACCCTGGCGGAGACGTCAGCGAGGGTAAGAGATGATCGCGGGGTGGTGGTGGTGGTAGGAAGGGAAATCATCATCTTCTTCACATCCTGTCTTACGTGGGGGCGGATGAACGAACTCTTTTCGGGCCACCGGAAGTAGAAACCAGGAAGTGCTGCTAAGGGGCTTTCACGTCTGGTGGTCGTAGGGTGTAGCAGTAATATTGTCGCGTTTTTATTTGACTTTGGGCTGTATTTATTTTTTTTCAAAAAATGCAGTAAGTTTCTTGAAATGACCAGCTAGATGAAATGGGCTGATGGGTTAGTTTAGCTTTTTGGACCAAGTTGAGGAAGGGTTTTGAATCTCTCCCTAAAGTTTCAGATTCGCGAGATACAGTATGTGGGCAGATAACTATTGCGTTTAATGGGGTTGGTCCGTAGAAGGAAAATCCATAGAGGTAGCACTAGTAGGGATTGAAATGTTACCAAGTGGCAAGCAAGTACTGAACCCTTAAGAGTTTTCCATAACACGTTATTCCCATGAAATGTTGAGTGATGCGAGGACTTTGTTCAGTTGCAGGTCCGGCATTGCCCCCTGGCTATAACAGTAATGCAGAAAGGCATGGATGTGATCAGGAACACGCTTCTCATGCTCATGGAGAAACTGTTTGGGATTCAGAAGATGGTGAAGATTCAAGTCCAACGCCTAGGTTAGTGTGCCAGCATAAACCCACAAAACAGCCCTATCAGACCATTGTTCATACAGTTGGGTATGAGAATAGTTTTCCAAGATCGCCTTCAAAAGTCTATTCCACCCTTGCTACCACTGATTAAACTTGGAGCCTTATGTATGGAAAATATTGACTAGAGATGAAGAAACTTTTGCTTTCTGTGTCCTTTTGCCTTCCCCTCCTGGAAGCCTTAGGTGACACAGCTGGTGGTAAAGGGTTTGGGGAGTTGGGCTCTGAAATTTATAAAAAGCAAAAGGTCCCACTACCTCTAGCCTATCCTATCTTATTGAGCGGTGATTCCTTTTTGGTTTCACAGTTTCAGTCGCAACACTGTCTGAAGAGATTCATTTATGTGGGCCATTAAGTTGAGGGCCTCTCATACCAATATGAAGTTTTTGCAGTGCTTGATAATGAAAAATCAGATTATGTGATCCCTACCTTTTATTAAAGTCCAATTGTTTCTAAAATATATGTTTTTGTTGTTAAGTCATGTCCGACTGTTTGTGACCCCATGGACCAGAGCACGCCAGGTCCTCCTGTCTTCCACTGCCTCCCAGAGTTGGTAGCTTTAGTGACACTGTCCAACCATCTCATCCTCTTTGTCCCTTTGTCTCTTGCCTTCACACTTTTCCAGCATCAGGGTCTTTTCCAGAGTGTCTTCTCTTCTCACGAGATAGCCAAAGTATTGCAGCCTCAGCTTCAGGATCTGTCCTTCCAGTGAGCACTCAGGGTTGATTTCCTTCAGAATGGATAGGTTTGTTCTCCTTGCAGTCCAGGGGACTCTCAAGAGTCTCCTCCAGCATCACAGTTCAAAAGCATCAATTCTCAGCCTTCTTTATGGTCCAGCTCTCACTACCATACATCGCTACTGGAAAAACCATAGCTTTGACTATGTGAACTTTTGTCGTCAAGGTGATATCTCTGCTTTTTAAGATGCTGTCAAGGTTTGTCATCACTTTCCTCCCAAGAAGCAGGCGTCTTTTAATTTCATGGCTGCTGCCTCCATCTGCAGTGATCATGGATCCCAAGAAAGTAAAATCTGTCACTGCCTCCATATCTTCCCCTTCTGTTTTCCAGGAGGTAATGGGACCAGTGGCCATGATCTTAGTTTTTTTGATGTTGAGCTTCAGACCATTTTTGTCCTCTCCTCTTTCACACTCTTAGGATTTTGTAGAAAGGAAGAAAAAGATCCTGCAGCTTGATATATTTCATGTATATCACTCCATATATGCATGGCTATATGCATGAATGTATGTATTTATACCCTTCCCAGCCCATCCTTTATAGCTGATTCATGCATATTACATGGGGAGAGTGGATTTTCCCTGTTTTGCATTGAGAATGCATAGCATTTTCCCAGCAGACAAAGAGCTCTTATTTCCAGTCAGCTGTTAATTGGGGAGCAGAGCTTGTCCCTGCCTGGGAGACAGGGTGAGGCTGGAGGAAAAGCTGGCAGGTCAGAAGGAGAATGTTCATAGGGCAGAAATCCCCCATGCCAGATGTAAGGCTCTAAAGTTGTGTAAATTATTTTGTTCAGTTTTGAAGGACACAGACAAATGTATAGATTCATGGGAGAGTATTCATATTAAAATGAACTTTTATGTTAAAGTTCATATTTCATATTCATATTAAAATAAATGAATGTAGGCTCCACAAAGCCACTGAACAGTGCTGTATATGTGTCTGTGTTTACATCTATAAAACTTTTAAGAGTCTCCACTAATCTCTGAAACCTGGAAAAGGTTAAAAGTTCATGCTAAGCTCTTTTTTGGGGGGGTATAGGGGAGTTTATGTCCCCATGCATTCCAGCTAACATTTAGTGTTTATTATAGTTGATTTTGACATTCATTTGAGAGCAAGGAACTCAGCAGAGGGTTGCTGTGTGACTTACCCAAACTTTGAAATGAGAACTTTTGAGTGCAAGTTATTGTGGGGGTAAAAGATACAGTGAGACATTATTTTTTAAAATAATTTCAACTTTGAAGTGTAGCTACTTTCAGCTATTGCAGATATGTCAAGTAATTGTTAAGTTCAGTCCCAATTTTTTAGGAAACAGAGAAGATATCAGGAAGAAGAAGAAGGATTCTTTGGGCCTGCTCTTCCACCTGGCTTTAAAAAACAAGATGAATCCCCGGAAAGGTAATTCTTATGGAAGAGTGAATTTGTTAAATTCTTTTAAATTCTTTGTTTCCCATACTTTGTAGAGGCCAATATTTCTCCAATGAACATTCTGTTGATTTAGAATACATATATCAGCGTGTGCATTTTACAAGTGGGGTAACATCCAAAGACTGAAGAAAATTGAGTTGGTATCCACAATTATGTCCTGCAGTGCTGTTGAACTCTAAAACATAAGTACTGGCAAGAAAATAAAGAGGGTGTGTCACATTTTTACAGCTACTACTAGAACTAATATTTCTTTTAATAAGGTTATAATGTCTGTGTTCCTGCCATCAGACATCAGTGCAGGAATACCAACTTCCTGAATTGCTATTTCACTTGCGTGAGTTTTAACTGCTCTAAACTGTAGCCACATGAGTGTCCAGATCAAATCTCAAATTATCAAACCTCTATGTTGGAAGAAGCCCACATGTGACTCTCACCAGTGACTCCTTGCCAGCATCTTTACCCAGATTTTTCTGTGATAAATCTGTGAGTGTTAGAGGAATCTTGGATAAATCAAGTAAAAGGTAGGGAGCAGAAAAGGCAAGCCAGTTCAGCTGTTTTCCCTGCAAGGGCCAGCTTAAAAGAGCTGCAGTAGCTATTCTCCAGCTACTATAATAATAGTTGTATGCTGTCAAGTCAATTCTAACTTACGGTGACCCTTTTCAGAGTTTTTCTAGGTAGAGGGTAATCAGAAGTGGTTTACCATTCACTTCTAGGGGCATCCTGGGACAGTCTGGCTCTTTTGAGATGAACAGTGGAGAAATTGAACTCCCAACCTCTTGCTTCACAACCAGATACCCGTCATGGAGCTATCCAGCCAGCTGTCACTATTATAGGAATGTGTTATTGCTGTCATGAATCTTATAAGAGCCATTCTCAAAAGATAGAGAGGCGAGTCATTATCCAGAAGAAATATCAGAAAGAGTTGGCCGATTGGGTCTCCTCTGATCTAGCCGTGATCTCTCAGCCTGCCCTATGAAGGATAGTGTTCTTTCGGATTTCAGAAACTGACCTTGAGAGATAGATGAATTCAATAGCCTAGTTTGTATTGATGCAGAATCCTTTGGAATCCTGGTGGAGATGTAATGTTTCTTTGAAATTCATGCAGAAAAGAGGCAAAGGTAGCAAAAAGGAAAATTCAACATATTTTAAATATTTTTTAAAGTCCTGTACTGAAAATGAAGGTACTCTTTGAGGTTCTGAACAGGTACCTTGGGCTACAGATATTCAGTATGAAAGTGGAGGCCTCCTCTGTATTCAAAAGTCTAACTTGATTTACCAGTTCATCATGGATCTGTAACATCTCTGAATAAGAGCAGGCAGTTCCATCCTATACCACTCTCAGTCTTCTGTTGACTTCAAGTATGCATCAAGTTTTCAGTGGCTTCTGTTGTGTACCTTCAACCAAAGGCAATCCAAGTCTATACATTATAGATACAATGTATATTTAGCTCTCTATAGGGAATAACAAATGTAGGCAGCTATGAACTAGCCTGAGACATAAGTTGTCCAAGAGAAAAACAGTAACATAAGATCATCCTGGCAGTTGGAAGAACTGAAGTATATTATAGAGTTGCTATCATAGCCTTCACTGTTACTTGAAATACAAGAGCAGATCTTCCCTCCTTTCTTTTTGTGTTTTCTTCAAGATAACTGACATCTAGTGCAGTTGACAAAAGCAGATTGTTTTCCTGGCTATTGTTGTTTTAAACAATATGTACCAGTGCTGCTGCTATATGATATGCAAGGCTATTGCAGAATTTGATTGAGTCCAGCTAAAAAATATGGGAGGTGGGGATAAGGGCCACAGTAATCCATTGGTCAAATGTGTACATCAGCATGGGGATATTCTGGAGGTAGGTGACAGGTAAAGTTGGCTGGAGCCTTTCAGCTCCTAGTTTTCTTCTTACTGTGTTTGCCTTAAGAATCTGACAAAATAGTCTTACTCATCAAGTAGTTGTACTAATACTTTTTCTGAATGAAGCTGAAAATTCTCTGGTGCAATGTAATCTAAATGTGCAAAACCAACAAACCTAACCTGCCCATGCATAGCCTGACCTTTAAGGGACTTAAAATTAAGGGGGAACCTTCAAAGTCATCATCTCACTTACTCAGAGGGCTTATCCTTAAGGTGTTTTTTGGGAGGGGTAGAGGAGGCAGGAATATCAGTCCAAAGTTGGAGATTCTGTCAGTAATTAAGGAGCTTTATGTTTATCATTAGAGATGGGGTGTAACGTTTACCCTGTGGCCCCTGCTTGTTTCACCAAACTCAGAGCTCACGGGTATCTCAATACGCCCTTTACCGCACTGTCACCAGTTGATCACTTTACCAACTATATTTCCTATGAAAGACTGAGGTCCATTCAGTAGTTAACTTTGAAATAACAGGTTTATTGATTACAAGTTGTTCCAGGAATAATTCTTAAGCACATTCTTAGAGTTACACAAAGCTTCAGTAGTTCCTTTAAGCTTTTCTAAATACAGATAACACTCTGACTATTCACTTCTTAAATTCTCTCTCTGCCTCAAACCCAGACTATCTCCCCTCAAAAAACTCTAGTTTCTGACTCCCTAGACTTGGACTCACCCTCCCTTCTAGTTTCTCTGGCTCCGCCTCCCAACAGCTGTCATTGGTTCATGCAAATAATCTTCTACCTGAGCCAAAGCAGGGTGATCGCCACCTGGGGGTATTTGTATACAAATATCCTTGCACAGGTGGCGTTAACGAGGATCTAGCCCCATGGGGCTGGACCGTCCAATCACCGATCCGACACAGACAGTGTAATTCTACAAATGACTGCACAGTGCACAATCCGCTCACCACTCCTGGCAGGAGGACAAGCCTTGCTGCAAGGTCGAAGAGTGGCGAGCGGATTGCATGCCAAAAGCAGCTGGAAAGAATAATCCCGTTTTATTATAAGAGAAAATAGAACAGCCCTCTCTTCTTTAGACTTTGAAATGCTGACAAACTACATGGATTAATGTCTAATATCAATAAGGTCTGGAGCTTGCCCTCACAGATCTGTTCATGTTGCCATATTGGCAGAAAGCCCCAAGTCCTAAGCAGTTTTGAGAGTCCTATCATCTAGACTGTTCCTTAAACTTGGATAGCAGGCCAACTAAGTGTTGTGCCATCTCTATGACAGACTAAGCATGTCCCCAGAGCCCCAGATAGGCTGGATACAGGCTTTCCTCCTTTGATGTTTAATAGAAATATCTGTGATAGTCTGACACACAAGTTTCCATCTGTCTGCATGAATTCTGTCTTTCAGAAGTCTGTTTCTGAGATGGCTGATGCAGAACGATTAAAATCCTTCTGTCTTTGAGGTCCTGATCCTTTCAAAACAAGCTGACCACTCTACCACCAAAAGCACTGCATGAAAGGTTCTTCTCTGAACAAGTTTTTGAAGTATTTATATCAGTTGAACCTTTGTAGAACATGAGGACAAACACATCAGATACCTGTTGGATTCTGAGTACCCAGGAATCCCTGCCATAGTGCAGAGCTACTGTTAGCATGTAGCATTGTTGAGTAGCTGCCACAGTTGCATCCCCCAGGCTGATAATTGCTTTGATCTCCGTTTAACTGTTGTCCTGACCTGGCACTTCTAATAGTGCCAAGCAGCAGGATCCAGCCATTTTCTGATCTTTCAACGTGCTCTCACCCCAGCAGTTCTTACAGTACTGGAGCAAATTAAAAGCAGCCACACAGCACTGCTTGCATGAGCATTGATAAGAAAGGCTGTTGGGGCATACTGTCAGAGGACAGGCCCCAGTAAAGGACACTTTGCCCAGGACCCTCTTATATCTGGAACTGGCCTATCCTCCTGGGCTTTAAAATAGTAGTGGCCTCTTTGTCTAATCTACTATCAGTTATGAGGGTAATAAGTCATCTGAGAATAGTTCCTAGAGGGTTGCATGTTTAGACCATATTGTCTGCAACAGATTTATTTATTTGTTACGTATTCATTTAAAATATCCCATCATTCTCTTTAAAAGGACCCAACATGGCTTACATAATTAAAAAAAATTAAAAGCTAAAGACAGTAAATATACCAATATTAAAAAAGAATTAAACTAGTATTACATTAAAAGTGGTAAATAAAACTGGTACTAAAACATATTTAAAACAATAGACTACAACCATCCATCTAAAAAGACCACCAATCATTAAGGAAAAGCCACCTGGAAATAAAGATCTAATATTTGAGATATGTTTTATGACTGAGTGGTGCTTCCTATGTGGTAAGTCTTGTGCAAAACATTGCAACTGCTGTTGAATGATCGCTTGTTTTCTGTATCAGAAAAATGATAAAAGTGAAGAAAGTAGAAAAGCTGCTTTGTCAGTGGCTAGATGGAGATGGTGTTTTACAGTGTGCAGATACTGCTTGGTTTATCAGGAAAAATCTGGAGTAGTGGTTGTTTTAGAAAAGAGCACTTCTTTGGAATGAAAAGCTGCAGTGTTTCTTTTGGGCATGTCTGTAGAAAAATGTTTTTTTTTTAATGCACTCCTTTTATTTATAAGCAAATACATAGAACAGAGGTTAAGAAGAATGCAAATGATAAGAGATGACTTAACAGCCTTTTGATATAAAAAAGCCAAAAGGTTATTTCCCCTTTCTGAATACCTTATTATTACTACCTTACATTTTGAAATATGATAGGAATAATCATCAAGAATTTGTTTTATTATGATGTTAATATAAGAAAAATGAACGACTGAAGACTTTTAAGGGGAATGCTTCATAACTAGTACAGTGGTGCTTCGACTTACGACCATAATCAGTTCCAGAAGATGGACGCAACTCGAAATGGTCGTAAGTCGAAGCACCATTTCCCATTGAAATGCATTGGAACGTGATTAATCACAGAAACATACCCCCCCCCAGCCCAAACCCACCTGCAAAACCCTGTAAATGTACTTACTCAGAACCAGAAAGCAGCACCAGGCAGTCCTAAGCCGCCTCTGACGCACACTCTCTAACCGCTGGGATGAAAGAGCTACAAAGAAGGAGACTTGTCACCACCTACAGTTAGCAATTTGAATTTCCCGCCTTTTTTCCCTGCCTTTTTCTGTTCGTAAGTGGAAGCTCTGGCCACAAGTCAAAGCAAGATTTTGCAGCCGGAGCTGGTTGTAACTCGAAATGGTCGTAAGTACGGATGTTCGTAAGTTGAGGCACCACTGTATATATCTTTGGATGAACAGAAGCATTCTAGTGCAGATACTTTTAATTTGTAGATTTCACATGCTTGCAGAATTCTGAAATAAGAATTAAGTAATCTTTCACAATTTAATAGAATAAATGAATTTCATGGGGTTATTTTAAAAAGATTCCGCAGTGTGTAGATTTTTAAATTTCCAGTGAGAATGGAAAGCCTCTTCCATGAAATTCTGGGTGCTTTAGATAGCAGTTTATCTGCCTTAGGACAAGGAGAGAGATCGCCTGGAAGATGGTATGACTTCAGTTCTTGTAGTTTTCTGAGTTATTCCTTTCCTCTCGTGCCACCACTCTTGTAACCTGTTACCTTCCTTATATATTTGCTAAAGTCCTTCAAGGAGGTCCTTCAATTCTCAATCAATCTATTGTATCAGAATTTAAAATCTTACCTTTTAATCAGTCAGTGAGAGAAGGAAACCTTATGCTTTTTAACAGGAATTGCAGTGAGCTGCAAATCTGCTAAGTATTTAGGAGGAGGAGTTTCTGTGTCCGGTCAAAGAATCCGATGCCTGAAAATCTCCCTAAGAGCCCTCTGGAACTTTATAAACGTCTAGGGAAAAATCAGAAGTCTGGGTTCAGAACAGCTGGCGTTTATCCCATTTAACAGTTAATTCTAATGTGAAATCAGACAATTTTTTCTGATATCAATTTTTTTGATATATGAAATTCACATGGGTATTGACGTATGTCTTTTCAGTGTTGCAATAATTCCAGGCAACATCAGCTTGCCTATTTCTATATTGCTTCTTCATTCCAATTGTTGTAAGCCGCCCAGAGACCTTTGGGTAGTGTGGGCGGCATATAAGTTAAATAAATAAATAAAAATATGCACAAAAATACTTCAAAAAGTGATTGTAAAAATACAAAAGTCTTATAGCTGTGGAAAAACCGTACCCACAAATGCTTAAAAATATATGAAAACTAAACTTACGTTGAAGGCAAATACTTAAGTTATAGTTAAATCCAATATACAGTAAAATATATTTTAAGAATAAAAAGGAGCAATGAGAATGTTTCAATGACATTCTAAAAATGTAATTGAAACATAATATTTATAGCTTAATAAGGCACAAAAAAAGCAGAGAATATATCTCTAAAATGCATCATTTAAAAGTAAAAAAGCAGCATGATAACGTCGAGAATCTGTAGCCTTTAGGCATATTACCAGACACACAGAAAATTATTCTTAGTGCTCACCCAACCAAGCCAGATTGAATCTGTGGAAAAAAATTCTTGTCTACTGTTTCTGCTACATGACGATGCTCTTTGATGTCAGTGTTGTTGGTATCTGGTATATGTGGTGTGGCATATTGTGTTGCCTTGCATGTGTCTCCTTCCTTCTCCTTCTTTCAGATGTTTACATATCCCTTCAAACTGTAAACATTCTAGTTTTAAGGATCTGTAACTATAGAGTCATGATTGACTAGGGAAATTGTTTTAATAGAAATGTCTATTGTCTTTACAAATCCTGTTCCTGCGAATCAGAATCTGGCAAGTTGCCACCATGATGACAAGCATTATTGTTTTGTCTAACAGCTACAGAGTTTATGGATTTCAATGGATTGAAACTACAGGGGTCTAGTAAAATGAAATAAAGTAAAACACAGGATCTGAAACACAGCCTATCCATTATGTTAACGTTTTACTTATTACAAAACTATTTTAATACACTGTCAATTCAATCCCTTGTTTGCAGGCATCATTTGTAAATAGTTCAATTGTAATGAATGTTATTGTATAGTCATGTTGTTTCCAGAATTGGCTGAAACTAGTTCATTGTTTTGAAGTAACTTTTAGTAAACTGCTTTTAAAGTCTCAGTATTAAAATAGAGTGTACATGTTCAGGGCTGCTTTTCCTAAACCTCTCTCTCTCTCCTCCCCCCCCCCATTATTTTAACATTCAATATATTCAGAATTTCTTATCTTGACACCTAGAAATGTTTGTAAGACCAGATCCTTAAGCTTGAAATAATTTTTCTGTAAATGAAGATAAAAGTTGAATAGGTAGAAGAAACTTCATTTCTCATGGTTTGGTTGCATAGTGACAAAGTAGCAGCTTTACCACACACTATCTTCTTGAAGTCATAACATTGCAATAAAATGATGCATTATTCAGACACTAGCAAATTCATAAATGATTTCATAAATGCAGAAAATGCTCTAGACTTCTTAACTTCTACATTGCAATTTGAGCTTTGTAATAAAGCACAGTCTGTATTGTTTTGAAGTACCGTATTTTTCGCTCCATAAGACGCACCTTTCCATAAGACGCACCAATTTTTTAGGAGAAGAAAACAGGAAAATATAATTTGAGCTTTGTAATAAAGCACAGTCTGTATCTAAAGTATTAAAAACCACTTGTGTGTGAGGGGCGGGGTTTCTTACACATGTAGCCACTGTAATATATTATTTGTAGGATGTAGCCACAATAGTATATACTGTAGTTTGTATGAGATAACAGATTCATATTTAGAACGGCTTATTGAACAGATAGATAAGATGGACGGAACATGAAGTATCCGTAGTGGGTGAAGCAGAATAATGCCCACCACCATCATAAACTGAGTTTAATTTGATAACAGCAAAATCAGAAAAAAAATATTTCAAGAACCTTAGGAGGTATGCTTGTACCTTAACTATTATTTATGTTAACTATTATTTATATGCTTTGAAGAATGACTTTGTTTTTGATTAAAATGCAACATGAATTGTTTTCTTTTTCAGACCTATTATAGGTCCTGCTTTGCCCCCTGGCTTTAAGAAACAATCAGAGGATGCTGAAGGAAGCAGATTTCATATTGCCCCGGTATGATCAAGGGGAGGGATTACTGGAAAAATAAATGATCCAGCTCTTATTTATGGAGCATGCTAGAAGTCTTGACATAAATTTCTTCATGTGACAAAAATGAAACATGACTTTGGTTTACGGTATTGGCTAGTTAGTGAAATCAAAGTTTATATGTGCAAACTTTAAAGCATACTGTATCTCCCCCTCACCCATCCAAAGTACTATAGGATAGCGTACTTCGCTGCCACCAACCACACATAAACCTGACACTTCAGACTTAGTATGGATTTTAAAATCAAAATGATGTTTTATTGATTACAAAAATAAAATGTAAATCAATGAATAAAAGAATCACTTGTTATATTTATCAGACCTTAACCCTGCACAGTTCTTGGTTACTTAACACACAGTTACCTAACCTATATCTAACCCTCTCACTCTCCAACTCTCTAATTCCCCAACCACCTCTTCCCTCTTGGCACACACCCCTTATATACACAAACTCCACCCCTTTAAGACCCCCCTCCTGCCCTGCCATAGGCCAGGAAACTCCAGCCTTAGCCAAGACAGGCAGGTGACGTCATGGCACACGTCACACAAACTTTTAGCATACTGTATATCCACCTCACCCATCCAAAGTACTATAGGATAGCTAATGCTTTCAGAGGGGGGGGGATGTACCAGCAAGAGTGGCTGAAGCCTAGGACTCACAATCCAGTTTTTGGATTATACAGCTGTAGCTATGAGCTCCTGCAACCAAATGGTCCTCCATACAAAACCACCCCCTCCTAGTAAAAAACTAGCATATTAAAGAAAATATATCCGATCTAGCCTACTCTGTGGTGCCGGTTTTTGTAGGGATTGTTTTGATATAGAGGAACATTTAGCCCCATAGCCTCAACCCCACAACTGTGTCATGTTATGCTTTTATCAGTTAAGTCTGAATTGGGACCTACATGGAGTGAACAGAAGGTAAATATTTAAGACTGTAGTAACACAGGAATGTAAATACTTTTATGTATGAATGGCAGGTGCAGACATGCTGTGTAATATGCTCTTCATAACCTTTGTTTATTTATTTTATTTTTATGCTGGCCCTTTACTGAACATACTACTTTAGGTGGTTTACAAATATAGAGAGAACACCATGCACCCCATAAAATAATACAATCAGTATGAGGGTTCACTGATATAGATCTAAAATCAATACAGTGGGGTCTTGACTTAAGAACAGCTTGAGTTAAGAACATTTTGACTTAAGAACCGCTCTCATAGGAAAATATTGACTTGACTTACATACTTAGATTTGAGTTAAGAACTGAAAAAAACCACGTGGGAGGCAGGGAAAGTGCAAAATTTGAACTTTCAGTTAATTGTTGGCCAGTGAAAAGGGTGCCTGTCTGCTTCCTCACTCCTCCCAGCGTTTAGAGAGTGGATTGGGAGACAGTCTTCAGACTGCCTGGTACTGCCTGGACTGTATTTTCCCTGCCTTCCCTGAACCTTTCTTGACCTAAGAAAAAAAGAAACAAAAAATCCCCATCTAGTGGTCGAAGGCGGAATAGCAGCTTCCCATTAGTTTCTATGGACGGAAAAGAGCAGATACGGATCAAATGGTTTTCAATGCATTCCTATGGGAAATGCAGATTTGACCTGAGAACTTTTTGACTTGAGAACCGCCTTTCAATACGGATTAAGTTCTCAAGTCAAGACCCCACTGTACAAGAAAAAAAGAAAGCACAAGAAATAAAAGAAATACAAATTAATATCAACAGCACCTGGCAATTAGTTCTAAAAGGTAGCTTTATATAATTCTGATTTCACTAATAGGAGGAGGGAAAGAGCCTCACATACCTCAGTTGAAGGCTTGTCCAAAAATTAGGGCCTACGTGTTACCATAGTGTAGTATCCAGGCAGCACTCCAACAGCCAGGGGAAAGGCCACTGTTTAATCTCCTTGTTATCATTATAAATTTTTATTTTGGCTGTGAACATCTATTTAAGGAAAGATATGTAGGATATGGTAGGTTGGAGAATTTTTAAATATACATTTCTTTTTAGTAAATTATATTCTTTAGTAGTGTGGGTGGGGCATCCTATACTTTATGCATGCAGCATTAGTGCAGTGATGTAAATTAGAACAGCAAGTTGTTAATAGTTAAGGAGTCACTGCTTGTAATTCTCATAATCTAATGTCAATTTGCTCCTGTAATTTTTGCCATTGCACATGGGATTCTTGTCTGTGTCTTATTTTGCATGTTTCAGATGGATTCTAGAAAATATTCTTCTCTACGTACTTACAATAATATATAACAAGAGAAAGAAAGTTTAGTATTTAAAAGAATGAAAGTTGACGGAACCCACATAAATGCAAGTGATCTGTTAGAGTAGTGTGTAATATGCAGGTAGATGTTTAAGCAAGGCAGTAGAATACACATATGAAGTAGAGTCTGAACACTACATGATAGACCCACATCATTCAAAAAACTTTTTCAATGAGACATGCTGAGCTTTGATATTGTAATGAAATGCTGGATTTAAATAATTTAAGGAAGACTTGTGTTTGATTCATCCACCGTCAAGCTGTCTTCCCTTAATTCCTTTAGGCCCAGGGATAATTGTAGAAACTTGATTTCCTGCTGTTTATAGAACATTTCTGTTCCGTATGGTTGCAGTTTGCAGTTCATATCATAATGTTTTATCACAGCCATTAAATCCTCCAGTTCCCTTTTTTACTTATATATTCCTCAGGGCTACAGTTGTACAACATTTTTACTTTCCAGACAAAATATCTCATTCACAAAGAAATGAACAAATGGATTAACTTTGATATTTTAACATACAGTGGTGCCTCGCTTAACGATGTTAATTGGTTAAAAAAGACACGTCGCTGTGGGAAAACATCGTTAAGCGAAACGTGTTTTCCCATAGAGATGCATTGAAAACCGGTTAATCCATTCCAATAGGCACGGATTGCCGTCCTTCAGCGGAAAAACCCATAGGAAACATCGTTAAGCGATACAATGTTTCCTCCATTGGAATGCATTGAAGCCTATTCAGTGCATTTCAATGGTTTTGCGATGTCCATTTTTCCAAACTTAAGTGTGTCTTAAAAGGTTCAAAAACTGTTTTAAATGCTTGGAATCGTTAGTGCACCTTCTAAAACGGGTGGAAACTTAATTTGGCTTCGATCTGACTTTTCGTTAATTTTTGCTGAATTTTTTCCCCCACCAACTTTTGACAGCTGTCAAAATTTGACAGCTCCATGCTTTCCTATGGGGGAGAAAGAAATTCACAAGAAATTAACGAAGACTCAGAACGAAGCCAAACTATGTTTGCACAGGTTTTGCAAGGTGCTCTAACGAATCCAAGCATTTAAAACAGTTTCTGAGTCTTTGTTAATTTATTGTGAATTTTTTTCTCCCCCATAGGAAACAATGGAGCTGTCAAAAGTTGGGCTCCATTGTTTCCTATGGGGGAGGAAAAAATTCACAAAATATTAACGAAAAGTCAGAACAAAGCCAAACTAAGTTAGCACACGATTTAGAAGGTGCTCTAACGAACCCAAGCATTTAAAACAGTTGCTGACTTTTCGTTAATTTTTTGTGAATTTATTCCTCCCCCATTGAAATGCATTGAGCCCAACTTTTGATAGCTGTCAAAACTTGGTTTCAGTGCTTTCCTATGGGGGAGAAAAAAATTCACCAAAAATTAATGAAAAGTCAGATCAAAGCCAAATTAAGTTTGCACACATTTTAGAAGGTGCACTAACGATTCCAAGCATCTAAAACATTTTTGAACATTTTAAGACACTTTTAAAATTGAAAAAACGGACATCGTTAAGCGAAACAGGGGACCTAAAAATGCATTCGCTATGCGAAGCATGGCCCCGAAATCTCTAAATGAAAATCGCTCATAGGAAACATCGTTAAATGAATTCTTTAAAAAAAACCATCGTTAAGCGAAAACATCGCTAAGCGAGGCACCACTGTACACCCAATGTTGCAATCTTATTTTTTTGATGAAAATGCTCATGGTAGCCAGACCATAAATATAGATTTAATGAAAAGCATGAAGAATGTATAAGTACGTGAAGGTGTACAAAATACGCATTTTTCCATAGTTCATTTTTCAGAACAGTCTGAATTTTTGTTTTACAGAATTTGTGTAGTTGTGCTATAGCATATTGGATTCTATTTTTCTACTGCCTGAATAGTCCCGCATAAAGAATATTACTTATGCACACATGCACCCTTGTATTTTAGAATAAAATACACACATGCAGCAGTGCTAAAAAGCTGCCTTCCCTAAACCAGCATTAATGTAGGAAGTCTGGAGTGAGTGTATGTGTAGGTTGGTACAGCAGCTAGATGTGAGTCAGGAAGTATCCAGTTTAAATCTCATCTCTGCTGCATACTCACAAAGTGAGCCCTTGCAAATCACTGACTTCTTGGGCCAGCTCTGCATAGCCTTTGATGCAGTAAGAACCTTCATTACAGAGTTATTGTATGGATAACAGTGCATAGAAAGCATTGAGAACTCTGAAACACTGTATAATGAGTAGTATATGTACAACCATTTTACTGATAGGACCGATTCAATTTATTTTTATTTCATGTTATGACAAAGGCTACAGATAGTAGTGAGGAGGATGAAGCTGTGATTGGCCCAATACCTGCCAAAGAACCAGTAGAATCAAACATAACTGCAGAGTTTGAATATCGAGCTCAAAGAATGAAAGAGAAGCTTCTCGGTCAAGATGATGTAAGTTTATTTCATTGTTTATATTTACCTTTAAAAGCTTTACCAGCTCTTGGTATGTATTTTTGGTAAATTCATCAGTACTTGTCCTGAAAATGTAGTGAAAACATTAATGTTTCTAATTTTGTTCTCTGTGTACAGGATGGGTCCAGACAAGTCAAAAGAGAGTCTTGGATGACAGATCTCCCACCAGAACTTAAAAACTTTGGACTTGGTCCACGGACATTCAGAAAAAGAGCTGATGAAAAATCAGGAGATAGATCAGTTTGGACTGATACTCCAGCTGACAGAGAAAAGAAAGCCAGTGTAAGCTCTTCCCCACCCCCCTTTCATAAATGGACATACAGCAGATTTCAACTTAGCTCTTGCCTTGCTTTTCTGGTTATAAAGTACTCAGAAGAGGTTTGCCAGTCTTTTTCCTCTGGTGGTGTTCGGGGGTTTGCAGCATGTCCAAGTAACATGCTGATATTAACATTTGAAAAAATAGGTATCTAACAATCTAATGCATCCAAAAGCAGCAGTGACCAGTTACATAACAGTACCAGATGTTCCTAGCCAGGGGTAGAGTAGAAGAAGGGACAGAGGCTGGGCAGCCATCATTTAATTGAATTAAGTAGGCTGGAAATTCAGCAGCCTTGGCCTGACTGGGGAGGTTGTTCTAGGACAAGAAACATTGAAAAGGCACATAGGCCAAGGAAGAATTGCAGAGTGAATATTTGGACTGTAGGGGGCACAAAAGCATTCCACCAAGGAAAGAAGTTTGGAATGATGAGTACCACCAAACAAAACACCAAAAAGAATGTGGCTTACTTCTTTAGAGGAATAGAATGCTTCTCTGAAAGAAGAGAAGTAGGGTCTTGTGCTTTGAGGGCTTAAAAGGGATAAATCTTGCAGCCTATACGTGTAAGTCAGCTATTGTGTGCTCTTCTGCAATGAACTTGCCTGTGAAGAGAAATCAGCAAGTTTCCTGCTGAGAGGGAATGAGTATGTCTTGAGGACAGCGAACATCTTGAGTCATTGTGGAGGCTTTCCCTTTGGATTTAAAAATAGATCTCCTTGCAACCTGATAACCATTTGGTCTTTTCCTTTCTATCAGGAACAGCAAGCTGCAAAAAAATCTGTCAGTAAGGATGATACAGAAATTCACCTGTCTGAAAGGGACAAGAGACTGATAGAGCAGTTGTCTTCATACAATGTATGTATCAAGTCACCTTCTTTTGGTTCTCATTTTCCCTTTTTTCATTTTGGTTTTGTTTGCTGTGGGAACATTTGTAGAACTCCAAACCCATTGCCTTTTGGAACTCTGTGGTTGATTTCAACAAGCTTCTGGTTGTGCTGAAAGAGTTTGTTCAAAGTGCTAGAATACCATGGGTTTTTAAAAATATATATTCATATGGATTTTCATGTCTCCTTTATACCATTCAATGAAAATGCATTTGCTCGCAGAACTCTCATTACTGAGACCTGAAGTATGGCGATAGCCATACTTTCCATGATGTAGTGGCTGCTGCCGAAAAGTGAGCATAGCATTTCTAGTACATGCAAGAAATACCTGCCAGTGAAGAATAAATCTTATCATAATTTTTTAGCATTATTAATCAGTGTTGGTAATCTGATTCTGTGTACAGTCAAAAACCCAAAGCGACCTTTTTCCATTCTAGGGAATGTTAAAAAATAAGAATAGTATGGGTTTAATGAAGAAGACTTGTATTTAGACAATGACCTCCAGACGTGGATTGTCAAGACTGATTGAACTAGGAGCATTGACCTGCCAATATCCAGGCAGAGGAAGACTTAAAAAGTACACAGTTTTGAAAAATGAACCTTAAGAATAGCAAGAGCTTGTAAGAAACCAGGCAGTATTTCATTGGATTGCAGCTCCTATCAATCAGTGACTCAAAATATGAAGTTTCAGCACAGTTCAGATCAAATTCTCTTTGAAGTATGGAAAGACCCTCATTAATCTTTTCTCTCCTGGGCTCCTAGAATGCTGACGGAGATCCGTTTGAAACACAAGAGTGGGGAAAGATGTCAAAGGAGATTTAATCCGGCCTTTGCTTAGCTTTTTATTGCCTATTTCTTTTTTAATTACTTTTTTTTAAAAAAAGCAACTTTATTTCTGTCATGTTTTAGCCTTAATTTCATTTGCACTTCTATTGGGAAGATGTGCAATGCAACTCTATACATGGTTATTCATAAGTAAACCCCATTGTCAGTGGGACCTATTATGTGAATAGAACTGCTTTTTTCTATTAAAGTACCCACAAATGCATCTTTGCTTTCTTTCTGTATTTGGAGTTCTTGTAGTGTTTTACCGTTGATCTGTGATATTGTTTCTCACCTAGGAGTCTCAGAGATCTGAATCTCTTATAGACATGCATCAGAAAAAGCTAAAGAACAAAGCTGCTGAAAAGAATAATAAACCACAGGAGAGAAGGCCGTTTGACCGTGACCAGGATCTCAAAGTCCACCGATTTGATGAGGCACAAAAGAAAGCCCTGATAAAGCGATCTAGAGACTTGAACACTAGATTTTCCCATGGCAAATGCAATATGTTTCTGTAATATAAATGTGTGGTTGTGGGGAACTACAGTTTTGTGCTGTTAAAAATCAAGGCATGTTATATAATAAAAAATTGTTGTGTATACAACATAAGAATATAAAGCAGATTTCCTTCAAGACAGCCTATAATTTCTTCAGGATTCACATGGATTAAGTAGTGCATGTGGTCTTAACAAAATAGCCAAAATCTAAAACTGTAAAAAAGATATGTGGTCAGTTCCCTCAAAGCAGTACTTTGAGGGAACTGACCACATATAGCAGAATAGGCCTGTTAATAGTCAAGTTTCAAATATTCATAGTCTCTCTTCTTAAATGGATTTTATGGAAATAAATCACTTCAGATTCCTAGTCTGGGTATAGAGCTTTTCATATTTAAGATGAGAAACTGGTTGTGTAGAGATATTCCTAAACTCCAAAAGTTTGTGCTTGGTAATGAGAGGGTCAGTTGTTAACAATGTGATATTTGGTGAAATCTAGTAAGTCATAGCTAAAGTAGGCCCATTGAACCAGTGGAACTTACAGAGGAGTTGACTCACCAAATCCCTATTGATAGTGCGTCTATTCTACTTATGACTTGCTACTGGATTTGAGCCATTGACTCTTAATTGTGAGAGGTTATAATTGTTCTACTTGTGTTTTTTTATGTAGAGGCTGAGTGTATGGGTAAAGCATATCCTCTCTACCACCAGCATTGTTTCAGTTTACTGTACTTTACTGTGACCATTCCATTCTGGGAGTATGTTTTTGGAAGGAGGCACACAGCCATCAGTCAATTGGACTGTAATGTCATAAGGCAGATTTTGTTCCCAAGTTTCTCTTGTAAGCTCCAATAGTATTTCGATTTTTTTTACTACATATGCAAAAAAGATTTTGCCACATATAGTTTCTTCTTTCACTGTGGTGGTTGAACTTGCACCTTCCAAACTTGTTCCTATTGGAGTCAAAGGTTCCTTTGCTATATGGGAAGTTATGGCCCCATAGGAAGGAGAATGCTGTGAAGTAGAATTTCTGTCCCACACAGTTGTCTTTAAAGACACAGGAGACCTAACAAACCTAATAATGCTGAGGCAGGATATGTATTTGAGATAATGAAAATCATTACATCTGTCTCAGAAAAAGTTGACAGAACAATTGCATCTATAAAACTATTGTCACAGCACAATAAACTGGAAGGCAAAATGGGATGACATTGTGATATTAAAGTTATTTTTTAATTATGTTAGGATTCATTCCTAATCTGGGGTTTCTTAAAGAACCTAGAATCTCTTGTGACATAATGTAGGATACTTCATTACTTGCATTGGGCAGGCTGCCCTTCTAACAACTACAGAAATAGTGTCTGTCGATATTCATTAAAATATTTATTTGTGATGTATACAGAGTGTAAATAAAATACTGGAAATGCTGTATCCAGAATTTTATTCCAAAGCTTACACATTTTTCTTGTAAAATGAGGTGCATTGTCAAAACAAGTTACATTAGTGAAACAGGCAAATGAAGGAGTGCTGAGGAGTTTCCTTCTCTAAAATTGTTTTCTTATACCAAAATATGTCCGTGTGGATGAATTCATCTCTTACTCTCAATGAAAGACTTAAGAAATCACCATAGCAGTGATTTAGCTATTAAGAATTTTCAGGGCAAGGAAAAGTCCAGAATTGCCAAAATGAAAGTGTTGATGTAAACCAAGACAAGAGATGTTCCTTGAGCTTTTAAGTATAGAGCTGAAACCCAGATCAAGTTTGGATATAAAATATATCAAAACTATTTTTCTTCTATGTCATGCAAATGAGCATTAGGGTATACTTGCCAGTCGGGCAAGCATCAAGCACCAGTCTGCAGCAAAGATGGTCTTGGTAAGTATTCAGTCAAGATTAGAATAGCATCAGTTACAATGATGCTGGCAATGAACATGGCATGGACATTTGCCAATGAATATTTAGGACACTCATAGTTTTTCTGCACAATATTGGTGCATAGTCTGAAAAAGTGAACATGATCCATGAAAACTTGCTGATTGTTTAATTTTTTTAGTGCTCTAATAAATTTTATTTATTTATTATTGTATTTATTTATTTATTGGATTTCTATCCTGCCCATCTAGACCAAGGTATTACCTACTCCTGCATTTGTATTGTGTAAGGACTACATAACTTACTTTGTTTCCTTCAGTGCAACGAGAAGGTACTTAAGAAATTTTCTCCGTTGACATGTAACTAGATTGTATTCTGACTACAAGTAAATCCATCCTTTAATACTTTTTATATAGTGGATTCTCGACTTACAGACTTTTCAAGTTACAGACGTCTCTGGCCGCAAAATTTAGGTTCGACTTGCAGCTGGAGAATCGACCTAAAGACTGGGAAAAAAACAAAAACGGAACAAAAATGACCGGTTATGGATTAATCGGTTTTCAATGCATTGTAGGTCAATGGAGACTCGACATACAGACTTTTCAACCTGCAGCCACCGTTCCAATATGGATTAATTCCATAAGTCGAGGGTCCACTGTATCTTAGAACTGGTGTGGCTCTTTTCCAAACCACACTTTGGAGTTAAAAACATGTGAATCTTAGGCATGCCATCCCATCCTTGGAGACAGCAACCCTTCTCTTCCTGTCTTACCCTGCAAACAGGATTGAAAAACCAAGGAGTATTTCTGGGTGTCAGAGCAAATTCATATGAAATGGCAACTCATGACTAGTTTTATATTAAGAAAGAAGAATGTTGCCATATGAAGCAGGGGTAATGTGTGAGCCAAAGGTCCAGTTGGGCATTGTTTCCTACAAAACAATGGCACAATGTTGTGTCTCAATCATTTCTGTATATATACTGTAGTTTCTTGCATATCCAGGCTGACTCCTGTTAGATTGGTTGAAGCAGCTGTCTAAGAGAGAAATTGCTAGGCATTACTTAAACATGTCAATTTATCAGCAATTTTATTTTTTATTACATTTTGTTGAGAAGCTGAAGAAGGATGTAAAAATATATTGGGTCAGCCTTACATGCAAAGATTTTTTTTTCTCCATTGAACATTTTGCAATCAGTTTCAAAGTTACAATATATTTTTGTGGTTCAGGCAATCTGGCTTCAATGATTCCAAAACAAAATGCAAAATTAATTGCACATTTAAGTAATAAAGTTAATATTTAAACATTTTTTAAAAGGCAATACAGAACAGCAGGTACTTTCTACTGTCCTTATGACTGGCATTGATACCTTAGTTTACACTGGAAGATAAATTCATGGGTTTCTTACTTTGTTTTACAATTTTGTATTGTGTAATAACCACACAGCTTCCCTTTGAATTAAAAAAAAAACCTTAGTGGAGACACTGTAAAAAAGTCACCTGCCAGCACCACTGAGGATTCTTTACATCAATCAAGCTGGACTCCCTGAACTCTTTAATCAAACAAGCAGGAGGAGATCTGCATACACAATAGCCAGGTAATATATTTCAATCTGGTATAATTGGACTTCAATTGGCTTCTACCTGATCAGCAAACCAAAATTTATCCCAGTGTTGTGATGCAGAGTGGTTATGTCCCCGTATGCTCTTTCCTTGCCCCCTGCCCAAGCCACTAAAAAAATTAAAGCTAACCTGGCCCTAACAATGGCCATAAGACTTTGGGAGTTTAATAAAAGCATATGTAATTTTTGGAACTACACACAAGAACTTGGTATATAGCCTGAAGATGAATTATCATCAAAAGTTAGCTGGTTTTGTTTGATTTTTTAAAGTAGTGTAATAAAGGTTATCACCTGTTCCTATATTTGTACTGTTTTGGAGACCACACAAATGTGTTCTGTTTTTTTTTTCTTTCTAAATATGTTTCCAAAGCAGGCCAATGGGAGAAGGAAAGGCTTATGCAGAGTGATGGGCTGCCTCTTGAATATTGTGGAAATTTCCAAACATATTGCATGGGGTACGCCACATCTCCAGCTTTAAAAAAACACCTTAATAACATGTTGCTTGTCTTCTTTACCATGTACTTTTTGGGACATTTATTTTTCTGCACCACTCACAAGTTACTAGTGTTTGCTTGATGAAGTGGGAATTTTTATTCCGTGAAAGCTTGCATGAATTGTTTGATTTTTAGTGGTCAGATAATGATGTCACATTTTTCTACAATTTTGTATTGTGTAATGACCACACAATCCAAAATTCCCTTTGGATTTTTATATATTTTATATGTATATATAATGCAAAGAAGAAATATATATATTTCTTAATTAGATATATAATAATCAAGGATGAAATCCTCTATTGAGGAAGCACTGGTTAAGGGCTGGAAAATGGCAGATGCACTGCTGTACTGGTGGAACAGATACCCCACTGCCATTCCTTCCCTCCCTCCCTCCAGAACTACTGCCATATTAGAAAAGATTGTGGGATTATCTTGAATATGCCCGCAGAGATGTAGGTGGTGCTGGACAGCAGGAGGACTTAGAACAACATCTAAGGGCAAAACATACTTTGTAGCCCATCACTGTGCTGATATTCACTGTGTAACAGCAGCCTTTGTCCTGACTCAAATGCTTTCCTTATTTGCTTCGGTGGGGGAAGGGTGCTTTTGCCTTCTGTTTCTGCGTGCGCACAGTGCTCCTAGACCACTGGCTGTGTAAGAATCCTAATGGCATTCAAATCTTGCTGTCTGGGAATGTACAATACGAGGCTGGAGAAGATTTGTTGCTGGCTATATCCTTGGAGTAAGGATGATGTATCAGCATCCTACGTGCTGGCACTGTCTCCTTAAGTCACTGACAACTTCTGTAGGTGGGTGTCAGTCACCCTGGGGACACAAAAAAAATGCATTTTGTATGATGCTATCGGTGTGCTTTTTATGCCATTTTTGCACTTTCTCCGCCTGCTTTGTCCAGCTGGGCTGATTATAAGTCTGCTGCTGCCATGGGTGTTACATCTCAAGACTTGGTGTAATTTAATTGTTACTAAGATTCAGAACACTAGCTCAGCAAGATCTCAGCTGCTGTTTTACTCAGTTCTCTTAATTGAATTCCTTCAACTAGAAATTCCTGGAACCTTTTGGCATGCCAGGCATAACTCTGAACCTGAGCTATGGTCCCTCCCAAAGAATCACAACATGGTAAAGATATGATGTATCCTGTATCCGTTGCCATGAGTGCTGCCTTGGAGACAGATTTATTTTATTATTATTTTATTTGTTACATTTATAGCCCGCCCATCTAGTCGTACCGACTACTCTGGGCGGGTAACAACAGATCAGATCTAATACAATTTAAAATCATAACATTTCACTAAAAAAAAGGAAACCACAATAATCAGATGGGAAAAAGGCACAGAGAACAAAATCAGGCGGTGGATGGAGGAAAGGCTTGCTTATACAGATGCCATCTAACTGAGCCTGAAGCAATGCATTTGCACAGCACCTGCTAGAATAATAGAGCATTCACAATCTTCTTCTACTAGGAAGATAGTTTCTGCACTGAGAAAATGGTAGATAAAACCAAAATAAAGTTAAAATGAAGTAAGTTGGTGGCAATTTATATACACAGACTTTTGCTGTTATGTGTTTCTGTCTGTAAAATCTGCATTATCCTGTTCAGGTTCTGATTCCATATAAATGCACAAAAAATTCAAGCAAGGTTCAACCTCTCTGAAAAATGTTGAAGAACGGAGTAGGATTTCAGCTGGTCTCACAGGGAACAACACAGCCGAGGCTGCCAAAACTTGATGTCAGGCAGCTTTGTCTCCCTAGCAACCATGAAGGGGGGTGGTGGTATTTCTTTCTACCAGAAGGCATCTGGAGAGCTATTAATGCATCAGACTGCATGGGTCAGATGCTGTTTGTTTCTCTAGCGAGCAAGCAAAAATCACAGAGCGTTCTGATAGCACGTCTTTGGAATAAGTGGAGTTACACTAGTAGGCAGGCTGAGTCAACGTATTACTTTCAAGTTTGTATTTGGTTTACATGTCCACAGAAATGTGTTTCAAGACTGAGGAGCAGCAAGGCTAATTCAAAATTCTTTCCAAGCCACTGCCAGCTTTGTTTGCTAGCTCTAGCAAGGAATACGTTCACATGAAGAACTTCCTAATTAATATTCCTTTCTAGGAATGGTTTCCTTTGACCATTTAGTTCAAAGGAACAGAACAAGCTTTATGGCTTAAAATCATAGATCGTCACAATATATCAATAAAAACACAAAATGTATATAGCACTGACATAACATATGTACACATAAATATAAGATGACATAGCTTCCGTCCTTTCTTAAGACTTTTGATGCTTGATGTGCACGTTTTGCTATTTGATAGGTAGTGGTTAAATCTCTACCTAGAAGCAGCATACAAAGTTGAACCAAGGGGGGTATATCACACAAGTGGTCCAGGACCTTCTTCAGCCTAATGGTTCAGTGGAGCTCCTGGACTGCTCAGTGGCTCACTGCAATGAATTTGTTACACACTTTGAGGGGGAAATTGCTCAGATTCGCAAAGAGTTGGACTCCAGTGTTGATGCAGAGCCTATGGCTGTGTCCAGTGCTCTGGACTTATGTCATAATTTATTGGATGAATTTCAGTTGTTACAACCTGACGATGTGGACAGGGTGCTTGGATCAGTTTGTGCCACCACTACGTAACTCAACCCTTGCCCATCATGGCTAATACTGTAAAGGAATCTGCCAGGGGGGTTCGCACCTGGATCGTGGAGATGATCAACTCCTCATTAAGAGAGAGAGTGCTGTCCACCCCGTTAAAAGAGGCAGTGGTTTGCTCACTCCTAAAAAAACCTAATCTGGACCCAGGTCTAGTGATCAACTACCGACCAGTAGCAACCCTCCCTTTCTGGGCAAGGTATTGGAATGTGTGGTGGCTGAGCAGCTCCAGGATCTTCCTGAATGAAACGGATTATCTAGATCCATTTCAATAGGGTTTCAGGCCGGGTTATGGGATGGAGACTGCCTTGGTTGCCCTGTTTGATGGCCTTTGCCGGGAGAAAGACAGGGGGAATGCATCCCTGTTGATTCTCCTGGACCTCTCAGCATCTTTCAACGCCATCGACCATGGTGTCCTTCTCGACAGATTGGCTGGGATGGGAGGGGGGGGGACCGTTTTACGATGGTTCCGCTCCTACCTGGCTGATCGAGTCCAGAAGGTGGTGCTGGGGGACAGTAGCTCTGATCCATGGCGGTTGCATCATGGGGTACTCAGGGCTCTGTACTGTCCCCCATGCTATTCAATATCTACATGAAACCGCTGGAGGAGGTCATTAGGAGGTTTGGGCTGAGGAGTCAGCAATATACTGATGACACCCAGCTCTACCTCTCATTCTCTACCAATCCAGGTGTGGCAGTCGCCATTCTGAACTTGTGCCTGGACTTGATACTGGGCTGGAAGAGGGTCAATAAACGGAGGTTCAATCCAGACAAGTGGGAAGTGCTGCTGGTATGTGTTCTGCCAGATAGGTTAAAGGGCCATTTCCCTGCCTTAGATGGGGTTACACTCCCCCTAAAGGACAGAATCTGCAGCTTGGGGGTGTTCCTTGACCCGGGTCTGACCTTGGAAGCCCAGATGATGTCCAGGGGTGCCTTCTTACAGCTGCGGAGAATATATCAACTTCGCCCTTACCTGGATGTGACAAAAGTCACACATGCACTGGTAATAACCAGATTGAATTACTGCATTGTGTTATACGTGGGGCAGCTGGTCTGGCGACTGCAACTGGCACAGAACCGGGCTGTGTGGCTGCTAAGTGGTGCCGCTGCGTGGACTCATATCACGCCGGTTCTGAAAAATTTACACTGGCTGCTGGTTGCTGCTCGGGCCCAATTCAAAGTGCTTACTTTGACATATAAAGCCCTAAATGGCTTAGGATCTGGTTACCTGAAGGATCGCCTTCTTACATACGAGCCTTCCTGTACTGTAAAATCAGGCCAGAAGGCCCTTCTGAAGGTGCCATCCCTGAAAGAAGGGGATGGCATGCCGAAATAGGGCCTTCTTGGCTGTTGCCCTGCAATTCTGGAATGCCCTCCTTATAGAGATTCGCCTGGCTCCAAGACTTTTCGCTTTTCGGCACCAGGCAAAGACCTTTATGTTTAGCCAGCATTTTAATTAAATAGTATCCTTTGGCTGGCCATATGAGCAGCAGGATTTATTAATACTGTATTAATGTTTTAATGACTGTTTTTAATATAGGGTATTTTTATAATATTGCCTATTTTGATGGTTTAAATGTTTTTAAAGATTTAATATTGTTGTACACCGCTCAGAGACCACTGGTAATGGTGCAGCTAAACTATCTTGTAAATAAAAAAAATACAATTGTTAGTACATACAGTTTTGTGACCTTGAGTCCCTTTCTTAAGATTCAGGTATATATTGTAAATAGAGGAGATAACTGAGCAAGCTATGCATACTTAACTGCAAGTAAGACACATTGAATACAATGGGACTTATATACTGTACACTGAGATTCCAACATTATGTGCCTCTTGTGGGGAGTAAGTCCTTATTGGACTCACTGGCATTTATGTTTAAGTCAGTATTCTCAAAATTGCACTGTGTGAGACTGATCAAGAAACCACAGTCTAAACGTTGACCATAAAAATGTTAAACAAGTTACTCTGCCTTGAAAACTCCTACGCACAACGCGAAGATAAGACAACTGGGGGACTTACAAAGCAATATATGGACTATTTTGAACCTTCCTTAACATCGTGTATCTGTTAAACAATATTTCATTAAGCATGTCACAGTTGAAGGGGGGGGCACCCTTCATAGTGCAGAGGACAATGAATTAAACAAAATCCAAGATCTGCAGATGAACAATACTTTTATAAGATCAACTATAAATTCATAAATTATATAAGGGGTTTGAGTTCTTCAGAAATCGTCATTAGACTGAACAGTTAAAAAAAAACACAACAACACACACACAAAAAGCCAATCCGTCTCCGAACATCTGGGTACCTGCTTTAAGCCCTCAGAAATTTGTCATTAAACTCAGTCCACACAAGAGTACCGGTGTCACCTGAACCTCTTGCAAAGCCTTCTGGGAAGAAGCGACACAGAATTTTGTTTTGCTTTCGCGAGTAGAAAGATCGGAGCAGATCGAGGATCTGCATCTAATCTTTGATTAGGCGCGCAGGTTTCCTTGGCAACAGCATAGCTTTATAGGAACTACGGTCGTGTATGTTATTATTATTGTAGGTTTTGCCGGAGGCGAGGCGCTAGCTGACTAACGCTGTGACTTCTTCAAACCCCTACTTTCCATTGCAGGAGTGAGTGGAACTGCGGATCTTCGTGGCAGCTCCGAGCGAAATGCTTGGACTAACCCTGCCTCCCCCCCTCCCCCTTTCCGTTTTTTTAATCTTCTATGCTGGTTTAAGAGTTCTGAAAAACTCGAAACCTTGCACATTCTTGGAATTTATATCGGATCCTAATAAAGTTATGATCCGCCTGTGGGCGTTTCTTTTACTCCCATGCCTCAACACGGCCCCTCGCTTTTCAAGGCGAAATACAGTATCAGTAATACAAATATTTTTGTTTTTATATCCTTAATGGTCGAGCAGTGGTTCTTAACCTTGGGTTACTCTGGTGTTTTTGAACTGCAACTCCCAGAAACCCCAGCCAGCACAGCTAGTGGTGAAGGCTTCTGGGAGTTGCAGTCCAAAAACTCCTGAGTAACCCAAGGTTAAGAACCAATCGCCTACTACTATACTGTACTGTATTTGTAATACCAATATAGGGCATCTCCCAAAGGGGAGGACGTCTTTCGCAAATCGTTCTTCAAATTGTCAATTTCCTGCCCTTTCCAACAAATACAACTTTTCCCCTTCTTTCTGTGAACTCGCTCTCGCGCTCTTTTTTTCATCAGTCGCCGCCGACCACCTGCCCTCCGCGCGCCACCCTCGCCCTCTTGACAGCCTTCCGCGCGCGTGCCGCCGCTGAAGCGTTTGTGATGTGAAAGCCTGCTTGGCCTCCGTAGGCCGCCGTAGCTCGGAGTGCACTCCCAATTTCTGCTCGGGTTGCTGCCATTGCCTCGGCGTTTGTCAAGAGTTAGAAGCTGGGCCATGAGCGAGAAAGGGGAGCTGGACCTGACCGGGGCCAAGCAGAACACGGGCATGTGGCTCGTCAAGGTGAGAGCTGGGGGAGACGCGGCCTTCTCCCGCAGGGGTGGCGTGGGATGGGGGGGGAGGAGGAGGAGGCAAAGCAGCGCCGGGGAACCAAGCCGGATCCTCTGTACTTTTGGGATGATTAGTAACAGGAGGACCATTTGCAATAGTCCAATTCACCTGCCTGGCCCTTCGTCAAGTAAGAAGGAAGGCCACCGATTCTTGTCTCAGGGAATTTGCGGTTTGAAATTCGACAGAGAATTGCGTGGTGTTGACGCCCTGATCAAATGTTTCTAACAGCATTCCCCTTGATCCTTTTTTCCCCTTAATATTATTTATTTATTTATTTTATTTTATTTATATGCCGCCCACTCTACCCAACGGTCTCTGGGTGGCTTACAACAATTAAAATTCAATACAATAAAATATAAGATGATTAAAATACGATTAAAATTGCCACCATCAAGACCCACAGTTAATGTTATTTCAATTAAATATTGGACTATGGCAGTAAGTTTGGAAGCGACAGAAGAAAATAGTTCTGCACACAGCATAGAATTAAGGTCTGACAGTCGCCCCCACAGGTGGTGATGGCCAGTAATCATCCAGGGAATTTTAAGGCCGTCAGTAGTTTGCTCACTGCCTTGGGTCAGTGGAGTTTGTCTGCTTGGACACTGCGACTATTTCAGTGCCAGAGGCGGAGAACAAAAATGGAGTGACGGGCTGGAGATTTTACGCTCTTTTCTCTTTGTAGCTTTTTAGAAGCATCTGGTTGGGCAAGATGGGAGGCAGGATGCGGGACTCCATGAATATTGGGTCTGTCTAAAAAGCTGAGGGTGCGTCTCACCCTTCCCAACACATACAAGGAATAAAAGTTGAAACCTACAGCTGTGAGTCTCGGCCTCAGCTGATTTTGTCTGGTGAGCTGGGAGCAATGGGTTCCCACCTCATTGTCCATATGCTGGGGGGTGTTCTACCATTGTTTGAAATTTTAGAGACAAGGTGCAATTTTTGGCACAGTCACCCCCTTGTCCATAGAGGATCTCTTTAGATATGGATAGCACATCCTCCATCAAGAAGTTGTGTTTGTATGACCCCCCCACCCCCCCATTTATGTTCAAATATAGGGAGGATGTCTTCCATGAATGGAAAAAAGTGTGCTTTTAGTTGGAGTAAACCTGCATATATTTTCAGATGGGAGGAGTGAGGTTAAGACCAGTGATTGAGTTTTTGTAGAAAATTTTGAATTGGATTTTTTTCAGTGTTCTGTACAGTGTGTGATTTGATTTTGTATTTTATTTGCCTTACACTCGCTAAACAAGTCATAAAATCACACAAGTATTTGCAGTGAAATATCTGATAGGGTGTTTAGAAATAAATCCTTCCAAAAATCTTCAGTTGATGAATATGTGCTATCACTTATGCAGCCATTCTTTGAAATGCCAAGAAATGGCCCGAGATAATCTTGCAATATTGTGCCCAGTTTTCTAGTAGGAGAATGCCAAGCTTTACATAACAAAGGCCAACCTTATGATGCCCATGTCAGCAGTCAAGACAGTCTACCTACAGGATCCTCTCTTGTGGTCATTGCTGTTTACAAAAATATACCAAGCAAGGGAAAATCCCAGAACCTGATTCCTTTTTTCATTATTTAATCACTTCTCACACAAACACCCAAAATTGTCAAGGCTGATTTTCAAGTTCTCTTGCTATTTAGTTTCAGTTTCTATGTGTTTTTGGAGTTTATTTTACACCCTACTTTGCTATTCAGTACAAGGACATAGATTTTCAATATTCTTCATCAAATGCCCACAAATTCTGTTCTCCAATCCATTTCAACCTACATTTCCTAAGCATGCTAGATCTCTGGATAAACTTAAGATTCCTAAACATTGGCATGCTTTCTCCAGAGCTAGATTTATCTGTCTCTCTCCGGGACTATTAGATGGACTCTGTTGAAGCATTTCATATGAAGATTGGCTGTGACCATGTGAAGATAAAGTAGTCAAGTCTTCGGCCCATACATTCTTTTAAATTCATCCTCCACAGAGAAGAGTGTAAAACTTCACCATCATGTTTTGAGGAAATGCCTTGAAAGACATTTACATGGTTTAGAGATTTTTTGTTGGCTATTATAAACCAATCAGTCACAGATTCTGTAGCTAATTTCCTTTTTTAAGATGTCATAAAAAGGCATTAGCACTTTAACTTTCTATGTTTTCTTAAATATATATATGCCTATATTATTATATCTTACTCTGTTCTTGTATTGTTTTAACCTGGATATGAATGCACAATAATGTACACAAATGTTCCCACATGCTTCCTGGGAATAGTCATCTGGAAAACATGATAGCTAGACCACAACTAATCAAGGTTTTGACTCAAATCTTGTTTAAGAATACAGGAATCATTTTTCTGGCTAACACAAGATAGAAACTACTGTGTGTTCTTTGTCAACCATAGAATTCACAGATAAACCTTTGGCATAAAGAGAATAAAACATAACCAAACTGGTTCATTAAGTGCCCCATGCAAAATTCGGGAGGTAGGAAAGCAGAAGACCAAACCCTTCAAAGACATTTAATTGAGAGTGAGGCTTCGCTTTCTCACAATTTAGCTGATGAAGTCTGCAATTCTTTCCAGAATATCAGGCACCTCCACAGATAACATAAAATGGACTTTGTCCACATCAGATTTTCCCTCCAATTTTAACAGGATCAGTACCACAAATTTGGAATGATCACTCTGCTGGAGTGGACAGTGCAGAAGCACGTGGGCAAGAGTTTTCAATGCCCCCTGCTTGCATGAGCAATATCTTTTGGGGTACAGGATTCTTTTGAGCCTACCATATAGTAAGCTGCAGGCATGACATTGCATCTGGCTAGGGAGAATGCCCTGCGTTTGTGGACATTTGAGCATACAAGGAAGGCAGATGGTTTTCCAATCTTAAAGGGAATGTGGGAAAACAGTGGTGAGCAGGTCTTATTGGCTGTATTCCATAGTTCCTGGAATTCAGTGTCCAAAATTCTTCTTTTGATCATTTGAAACGCTCACCCTTGATTTAGTGACCTTGGTAGTCACTATCTAAGCCAATCCATTTCAGTTCTTTAAAAAGGGCAGTAGACCCAAAGGGAGGTTTAGAGTCCAGTAATAGTTGATATAATAAACTATCTGGGTCAGAGTTGTAGAAAAGTTTTAACCAGAATTGAAATGATCTTAGCCAAGCCATCATTTCCAAAGAGGCCTCCGGGAGGCTGAGCATGGCCGGGATGGTCCGGTGGCTTGTCTCCCACCGGCGGTGGTGGAAGGCTGGGAGGCTGAGCCTCCCTTTTCCTAACTGTTGGGATGAAAGAGCTACAAAGAAGCATCCTCTTCATCACCAACGGTTTGAATTTCCCGTCCTTTTCCCCTGCCTTTTTTGGTTTGTACGTCAAAGCTCCGTTCACAAGTAGAAGCAAAATTTTGCGGCCAGAGCTGTTCATATGTTGAAATGTTTGTAGGTAGGGGCGTTTGTAAGTCGAGGCACAACTGCACTTCCAGTCTGGAGGAGCCAGCCACAATTGTCCAAAATAGTTTTTATTTTTCTAGGTCACTGCCTGTTGGGGCTTGCTCCATTGCTCCAGAATAAATTTCTGTCTTTTTTCTTTTATACAATTCCTTAATTGAGTTTTTAGGGAGAGAGATTTGTGCCGATCTTGGGCAGAGTCAGTCTTCCTATACAGTGGTGCCTCGACTTATGAACATCCCTACTTATGACCATTTTGCATTACGACCACCTCTGCCCGCAAATTTTGTTTCTACTTGTGACTGGAGCTTCCACTTAATGAACAGAAACAGGGAGGGAAAAAAGGCTGGAAATTCAAATTGCTATCGTAGGTGGTGACAAGGCTGTTTCTTTGTACAGTAGCTCTTTTGCCCCAGCAGTTAGAGAGTGTGCGTCGTTGCTGGAGGGACTGCCTCCTTCTGCTTCTGAGAGTGTGTGTGTGTGTTTGCCGGGAGGCTTCGGGATGCCTTGTAAGGTAAGGTTCTGTTTTCTGCTTTTAAAAAACTGTTCTGGGTGTTTTTGCAGTGTGGTTTTGAGCTGGGGTGGGATTATGTTTCTGTGCTTTGATGGGTCTTGGGGGGGGTTGTTTGTTGGTTGGTTCCCCCCCTCATTTTTGATGGGTCTCAGAGGTTTTTGTTGCTTTTTGGAGTGTTTTTCCCCATTTCCAATGTGTCTTGGGGGTTATTAGTTCTTTTGGGGTGTTCCCCATTTCCAATGGGTCCTGCATGCTTCCCTTGCTTTTTCCTTTGTTTTCTTTGTATTTCCAACCTGCCCCCTTTGTTCTTTGTGCATTTCAGATCTGCTCTGTTTGTTTTCTGTGCATTTCCAATGCGTCTTGCATGCTTGATTGCTTTTCTTTTCTTCCCCCCTTTGGCTGGAAGGGATTAATCGCATTTCCAATGAGTCTTGCAGTGATTTTTTGTGTGATTTTTTTTCTTCGGCCAGAACGGATTAATTGCATTTCAGTGCATTGCTATGGGAAATGGTGCTTCGATTTACGACCATTTCAAGTTACGTCCATTTTCTGGAACGGATTATCGTCGTAAGTGGAGGCACCACTGTATTCCCTATATGAATCGCGGATATATACTTTCAGATCCCTATAGTCAAGGTCAAGCCAAGTTCTTTGCTTTGGGGGATTGCAGCACCTTTGGGCTGAAGAAGCTTGTTCTAATTCACAGTGAAGATAGAAACTACTGTATTTGCTTAGTATGGTACTGCTATCCGTTCATTATTTCAAATGAATTTTAAGAAACAATTATATATTTTATTTTACTTTTTAGGAATGAGAACCTTTCAGAGGAAAAATTCAATACTAGAAACCCCTTCCACCTCATCATTATTTGAAGCCTCAGTAGAAAGGTTGCATTTTGTAGATAAGAAAGGATTGATATAGCTTCATTGTGTGTTCTGCGAATGGATGCTATACAGAAAGAGCAGCAAGAGATCAAGACTGTAAATCTTGTGTGATGAGCAG